AACTGCCTCCCTAAACTCCCGGAGCCATTCCCCCCACCTTCTCCCACCCACTTCAGTGATGTAGTGATGACACACTCTGCTGCATGCACAGACCCATAACATATCATGGCACCAAAGGCAAAGCTCCCCAAACACATGCTTTCCACTACAGATTTGCGTCTTGCAGACTGTGCATCTACTACAATGATAAATAACCCATAGAGCTGGATGGGAGGTCCTGATAATCCCCTATCTATGCTCCATCCATCCTCCACATGTCGTTTAGCTGTTGAGCGCTGGAGGGCAACTGCACTCCCTATGGGCTCTAATCCAGAGGAGGTGTTTGATGTAGACGTGTGGCTCCGATATAGCATTCTTACTGCCTACTGTAATACAATCTGCTCAACATCTGGGCTACGTCAGCCCCAGCTAGCAATGGTTCATTTAACTGTCAGGGGTGATGATGCTGAAAATAAGGGAGTGAAAACATATTGTTTAGTGTTAAATGTTTAAATAAAATTGACTATCTTAGAGAATATTTGCCAATTTTCCTCAGTCAGGGGCTGTAGCAGAGCCTTGGTATGGTCAATTTGTTGATAAGTTCTTACAGTCAACTTTAAAACAGCTGTTATATAGTCATGAGAGAAATATATAGCCCCCAAGAGATTCCCTCACCGCTGACATCCCTAACTCATATAAGCTGCTGTCAGTTCACTAAGCTTGACATTATCCACCCTTGATGAGTCTAGATTGTTAACTGCTGATGGTAGGTGAAGCAACACATTTTCTTTAGTTTCATTGCTAGGAGAGATTTCTTCCATCTTCAATCTGGACAGTTTTGGGCAGGCAAAATGTAGCTGGACCCAAAAGAAGTAGAAAAATTTATATCACCAAAGCACTTTTTCCTTGATTTTTTAAATACCGGGCAAAAGGAGTGCCTTTTCCTTGTCAGTTCTGAAATGAAATACCTTTTGTCACAAGAAATTCCAGCTCTGATCTATTCCAGAGCTCCTTGGTGCTGCATCCTGCGCTGCACACACATTATTCATATATGGCATGAGCCCATCACTGCTGAAAAGGAATCTGACTGGGCAATAGTCCCTGCCATCTGCACCAACTTTAAACCCATGAGACAACATATTGCACTGCATGCTGTAAGTAGGATGAACATGATACAATCTGTACCATACATCTTCACTGCTGACAACACTACAGAATTATTTGGATTCCATTCAAAACTAAATTAAATGCTCTTTGGATCTGATCCCCCCAAAAGATTTATAAACAAGGAAACAGTGGGATTTGTTAGATTTGTTTAAGAAAAGCTACCTGACACCCAACAGATAATCCACTCTGTCAGCAACCAGTCACAGTAAAGTAGTTGGTTTGTAAATCTGGATTGAACCCATTTTCTTACATTTGAAAATGAAATTTAAGTATAATTTTTTGGTAGGGGTTTATCTTTTAATCATCACAGACTGAAGTTCATTGTTCTCCGACCTAGCTTATTATTTTCCACTACATCAGTGGAAATGTGCAGCAGCAGCAGAGCAGTAAAAGAAGGTATGTGTCATATGTGCAGTAGAAGAAATATCGAGCAAAAGCTCCAGGTAAAAATACAGTATAATTCATGCAAAAGTGAAAATATTCTGTAAAATGATCAGCAGAAAAAAGTATAAAAGTAAGTACTCCTTATGTAGCAGAAAGGCCCCCCATATTGCACTGCTGGATTATTATTGGCGATTATTTTTGCAGCATTTTACCTTTTTTATGTTTAGTTGGATACTGTAACAACGCATCATAATTTATGATCTGAATGTAAATCTTTAATCTTGACAGTAAACAATAACCTGTAGATAGTTTAAATATTATATCTGCAGTGGTGAAATATAAGCATAAAGTAGCATAAAATGTACCTCAAGTAAATATACACAGTTTCTTTCCATTACAGCTTACTGTGTATTTTTGCAGAGCAGTGATACAGGCACCTGCTAAGTGTATCTCCAACTACAGGAACACCACCAAACACTTTAATCTCCTATGCCAAGAAGACAAAAGTCTTGAAAACTAATTGAAAACTGCGAAAGCTATTACAAACTGTCCACACAAAGTTATCTGGAAGGTCAGTGATGAGCATGACAAATTATAATTTGTTTTTCAGTTAATACACATTAATATGGAAACAGATTTATGGCAGCACTAATGCCCAGTCTTATAAGCCTTATAGCACCGTCTGGAGTCCACCACCAGTCAGTAGACTGACTTCCTTCCAGCTCCCTGCAGCTCAGTCCAGCACAGCCAGAGGAAAGAATGACAGCAGTGGACCTACAGAGCCAGAGAGTGAGATAACCAGGCCTCTCTCTGCTTTTTAACTCAGTCACATGCTGCTTGTTATTGACTCACAGCAGCACATCACTTCATAATGACTTTATCAGAGCAATACTGAGAGCACAGTTAAACTGGAACACATCAGCTCTTATATTTCAAAGACTGATGCCAAACAGAAGGTGCACCATGAGAATTCACCGAGTCACATGACTCTCAGTGTTTATAGGAGATGAATGACCACGACGACGCTGTTGTTATCTTACCTCATTTCACTTTTAACAAAAATCCTGACAGGAGGGATGTAATCATTTAGAGTCAGTTTCACACTTTGAAAGAGCTGCTACAACCCTGATCTGATTTTGATGTCAGTTAAAGAGGAGATGAAAGATCTAACTGGCTGGCAGTTTCTCCTGCCTCCACTGTTTGAGCTAAGCAACTGCTCTACTGAACACAATAAACATTCACGAAAAAACACCTATTCTCTGTATAGTCTGACACAGAGTGAATAATCCTCATATGCATCATTTTATTTGTATTTAGAGTTAGCAATATAGGTATGTTTTGCTATATTAATAGTATTTGTGTTGTTGATTAACATGTTATTATTAAACAATACAAACCTCTGAAAACCAGTAAACAACCCTGCAATAAAAAATACCTTCAGGATTGTTTGGTCCACCTACTTGGCAGATTAAACTGATTTTTATAAACAGTTTTGTCTTTTTTTACTGTATTTTGAATGTTTCCTGATCCACGTGGTGTTTAGATTCATTAGTTTGCCCTCTAGTGGTCCCAGTGAGGAACTGCAACACAATATTAAACTTGTGGCTAACATAGTATCATTATCAATACAAATATTATACTAAGATTATGTACATATATTAATATGATTGATAGACATAGCCATACTTACATCAGTATTGGCAATAAATGCTACCATAAAAATGGTTATTAAACCATTGCTTTAATAGCAGTTTTCTTTTTTAGACCAGTCTACCTGTTAGACTGGCAGAAAGCATACAAAAACTTTATACTTTCAAAATGCAGTCAACAAGTGGTGAAATGGCTGAATAGTGATAAAGTAGTGGAATAGTAAAAAAATAACAACACTATGTGGGAAAGTGTTGCATGGTGATTTTTTTTCCCCCGATAAAACAAAAAGATAGCCAAACAGGATCCTATAAAATGCAACATTTACAAGCCTGGATAACCTTCTCTTACTCCCATAAAAGAAAGCTGTTTATGATCAATGCTGCATTTGCTAACTGCGCAAAGTGTGAGAAATTACTTTAGTTCATGTGCATGCACCTCACTCATTATAGAGCATTTATGTTTTACGCGCATATCATATCATCATCAGCTTTTTCAGGGATTATTTCCTCTGGATCTACACCAGAACAGCCTGGCGTTCTTAACTCTGTTGAGATCGTTGGTGGAAACTTTGATCTTCTTATATTCCAACTGGCAAAATAAATTCCAGTCCATAATACCAGCGCCAGCTGATCTGTCCTTCTCAGCCAAACAGCCTTACTGTGTGAGCAATGAAACTGAGAAAAATGTAGGAATATATTTTTCTGATGTTAGATCTGCTCTGTATTGAGGGCCTTTGACATTTTAAGCAGATAAAGGCAGTGTCTGTTAATAGTGCCAGGAAATAGCACTGAATTAGAATTATTTAAATGGATAGTTAGGACAAGAAATAATATAACTGGACTGCACCTAACTAAAGTGGTGTTTGTAGTTGCAAATTTGTTAAAATGTGTAACTGGTGAAAACGAAGGTGATAAAATATTATTTATCTACAATTGTGTTTATTGTGTTTGTGCGTATTTGTTAGAATATGTTAATATTCCTGGGAAAAACATGAGTATGCCACTTCAAAGTACACAGGCTATAGCGATTGGGTCATGTTAACAGCCATTGGGCTACAGCCACAGGTCTTTTTACTGCCAAAATATTTAATATGCATGTGAATTATGATCTCATACAACCCCCCATCAGCCTCAGCTGTACTGTATTTTGTGTTTATTGCTAAATAGCTAATGTTTGCATGCTAACACACTAAACTGATGAACATTAAAACTCACTAAAGATCACCATATTAGCATTGTCATTGTCAGTGTTGCCATTAGCATTTACCCTGAAGCAATGCTGGGCCTACATACAGCCTCACAAAGCTGCTAGTCTTGTGTCTGCTTTCCTGTTAATCTGACTCCACATATTTATTTTGAGACTTGTTGTGAGGGCCTCGACCCCCAGGTTTGGAATAATGATTCAGAAAACTGGGTTCCAAACAGATGAGATGATGAACTAAAAAAAATTGTGCATACCTGTTTTTTTTATTTTTTTATTATTATTTGCTTTTGTAGTCAGTGGGGCAAAACATATATTTTACTCTTCAACTATCTTTTCCAACTGTAATCAGATTATTATATAACACCTTGACATCTTAGTGGTTTATGCGAGTAAACCTCACATCAAAAGTCTCTTGTTCTAGTTCCACTTGTGTGTGTGTGTGTGTGTGTGTGAGAGTCTCTCATACATGCTCTGATAGCCATAATCCCCTAACTGTGACTCTCACATGATGAAGAAATCCCACGCCTCACAGTAGCCAGAGGCTAAACACTGCATGGTTACTCCACCTCAGCTCACATGCTCCTCTGTTCATACTGTAGTGAATGCTTGCCCTATGATCCACTTTATCTTGTGTCAGTCTGACCAGCTGAAAGCACAGAGAGGAACATGAGGAGATATTTTTTGTTAAAAAGGATTCCTTTACCGTGGTTGAGGAGGGACACCACGCAGAATGAGTCCAGTCCGCTCATACCAAAGGTAAGAGGTCACTTCGCTCTCTTTTGAACTTTTCTCATGTTAAGTTGGTATGTGGTCTGTTTTGTTACGTTCATTTCCTTAGTAGAGAGTACCTGAAGTTTAATTAAATGTTCGAGGTGGCATTACTTCTCAAAAACTATGATATTTAGTTGCATTCCTGTGTGTCCAAAGGCAGGCTCTACAAAAGAGAATGCTGAGGAGCTCAGTCATGTTACCAGTGAATTTCACCAAGCAGGGCCAAACGACGGACAGGACAACAACAGCCCTGTATTCGCAAGTGTCCAACCCCACCACAGATATTCCTTGATAGACTACTTCCTAAAATACTTCCTGTTCCTTTGCAATCTGGTGTTCACAGTTCTGGGCCTGGTGGTTCTTGGTCTGGGGATGTGGGGCCTCATCAGCAAAGAGTCGTTTGCTCAGGAGAAGATCGGCAGTATCGGCACTGACCCAATGCTGATACTCGTGACTCTGGGCTTTGTGTTGACTTTGCTCTGCCTGTCAGGCTGTGTGGGCGCCTTAAGAGAGAACTGCTCCTTACTGAAACTGTTCTCTGCCGCTGTGCTAGTGCTCATCACGGCGCAGGTACTGGTCGCCATTATGGCTTACAGTCTAGAAGATCAGATTGGAGGCTACCTGCGGTCGGGAATGTTAGCTGCCATGGTGCGCTACCAGGACGACTTGGATCTCAGGTTCATCACGGATGAGATTCAGTCAAATCTACAGTGCTGTGGGGCAGATAACTATCGTGACTGGGAGATCAACATGTGAGTAGAGGGTGACTAACTTGGATATATTTATTTTAAAAAAGTACACCATGACGTTTTGGTCATAATGTAGGAATGCATTGAAAAAGTATGTGCTGCTCAGACTGTTATTGGATATTTTTTTTCCTTTCCTCAGATACTACAACTGCTCAGCTCCAGGAGTGCTGGCCTGCGGTGTCCCTGCGACATGCTGTGTGGACCCTTTGGAGAACGGCACAGTGTGGAACTCTCAGTGTGGTGTAGGAGCCCAGCAGCTGGATGAGTTTACTGCTCAGAGTGTGATCTTCCTGGGCGGTTGTCTCGGGGGAATCTCTCGCTGGATTGAACAGCACGAGGGCCTGATAGGGACAGTTGGAATTGTTGTGCTGGGCGTCCAGATTCTGACTGTGTTTATCACTACACGACTGTTGGAAAGCATCCAGTGGTATAAGGTTTACAGATAACTGTAATGGGCTGATGAATAGCCTATATTTATTTAATGAGTGCTCAAATGCTTTTGAATTTTGAACAAACCTTGTTTGTCACATGCAGTAAACATACTGTACCCTATAAACCATGAGATCAAAAAACAGCTCAGCTGGTTGAAAAAGACTCAGATGACTGCGCCTGTTTTGCCAGTAGAAATGAAAAATAACTATGAATTTTAAGACAGCAAAATTCAACATATAATGTCAAGGTAACAGACAAAAATGCCTTATTCAGCTGGCAAGGTTCCATGTTTTGATTCAGAAAGAGATTGTAAGTTTCCAAGCCCAAGAAGACCTATTTAAAGGACCACTTTGCAGGATTTAGTGGTATCTAGCGGTGAAGTTAAAGATTGTTAACTAAATACTGCTCGCCTTCCAAGCGTGTAGGAGAAAATGGTGGTTCAACATGGCGGATTGCTCTAGATAAAAATGTCTCATTCTAGTATACCAAAAACACAACAATTTTTATTTTAAGTCATTACACACTAGTGAAAACATTCCTATGAATATTATAAATCATCCTAAATGTTAAACACTGGACCTTAAACATTCGGTTACAAGGCCTTTTGTGCCTATATGTCTATATATACAGTATGTAGTACCTACCTACTGAGCAGTAAAACATTCCCTTCTAGCAGACAATATTTATTAACTTTTCGTCCCAGCAAAGCGCCATCAAATGATACTTAGAATCAGGCACAATTTCCAATTTTCTTGAGCTGTTGCTGAAAACACACAAAAGAAATAGTCCCTGAAACAGAAAGCCAAAAAGCATACATGCCATTATCAGTGTCAAACTATTCCTTTAAGGGTTAGGAAAATGCACAGGACATAGCGTGCCTAATTCATGGGAATCAATTCAAATCCCTGAATTACTTTACTGTGTTGATTGTTTTCAGATTCATGTGTGCTACTCTTTGTCAAAAAGGGACAAATAAAGCATTATATCAGGAATTATGTAAGAAAATACAGTAGCGTGGTTTAATAACACACTATGATTGAAGAAATGTTAGAAATTATTCTAAAAAAAATCAAAGATTTATTGTGAGTTTGATCAAACATGATGCTGTCAGTTGTGCAGAAACTCTGAAGCCAATAACCAGGCTTCTAGTCACAGCCCCCACTGTAACCTCAGACAACAGCACAAGAAACATTCATAATCAGTGGGTTGTGGCCAATGGCAGCTTGAGGGTGATATGAAAATGGTATATGGTTCATAAAATATATAAAACAACTTAGGCAAAGAACAGCATCCATAATATACATCATCTTTTTTACATGTTAGTTTACACTTTTTAGTTTGTGGTTAACCATTTAAAGTCAAAAGTAAAAGTCAATTGATGATCCAGATCAGAACTTGCCACATCAGTTCCCTTCAGTAGATATAAAAAATTACTTCTCAGGCAAAAATGACTCAGATGATGCCATACTGAGCCAGTTCGTGTAGCTCTAGATGGCTGTAGGCTTCCCATGGGCAGATTACGGTGATGTCTAAAAAAAGAAAGAACAAATAGTGAGTAAAAAAAGAAAAGCTGTGTGGTTTGTGTGTTCTTTTTTGTGGTGCTGCCTAACTTTGGTAATTCTGCTCACCCATGCCAAGCCCTTCCATTCCTGGGATATCCTCTCCAAAGCTGAGGAAGAAAGAAAGCTTTATTGTGGGGAAATATAAACTTACTAGATGACACTCATGACAATTCACTTAAGAAAAGCCTACCCAATGACGCCCCTCTTGGGAGGCTTGCTCTTGAACTGGCGGCTGCTCCTCTGTTTAAACTTGGGTGGGCTGGTTCCGGGGCCGGTGGCTCTGAGGGGACCTTTGTTTTCAATCTTGGCTTGAGGTTTGGCCACATCCAAATCCATACCTTTGTTGTTTGAACTGTAATGGGACAGATAATATGTTATAAAAAGAGATGTACTCTAACAATAAAAATTGTATATTTAAATACACTTCCTGTATTTTGCTATTACATTAGACAAATTGATATGAAATTAATTGTGCTGTGATTACTAAATAACTTAATATCTACAGAAACAGAGACTTGTTTGTATGTTTACAGACAATACAGGCTGCTGTAATGCCACACTCACATTACTAATTAACCCTTTAAGCTTCACAGCACCTTTATAATCAGATTAGTGTGAGCTGCTGAATTTGCTTATGGTCCTAACCCAACAAAAGCTCATTAATTACTGCGATTGTCTGCTGGTAAACACAGTTTTTAAAGTAAACTTTATAAACCTATTATTATGATTACAAGGAAAATATGTACCAATGTGGAGGTTTAAATAATTAGAATAAAAAAATCAATTCAGTCATGCGATATTCTAAATATTGCTACAAATATACACTCAGTGATTGTTTTATGAGGTACACCGGTACAATCTAATGCAATTCTAACAACTTTTTAAAATGTTATTTATAGTTCTTTGATTACAAAGTTTATCATGTTTTTTGTTGACCCATGTTGTACATGTGTACATTCAATGATATGTTCATTATTGAGGTGAGGTATAGAGGTGTTTCTAGTATTTTACCTTTCCTTTTTACAGCCTACACGACGGAGGCAGAATGTTAGAGTACAGTCCAGTACAGTGGCACCACACTACCTATGACCTCAGTGCTAAAAACTTATTTTTTTATTATAATTAACACCTCTATGACTTCAAAACTGAACCTTATTTTTAGGCATAAAAGTAGATTTTATAGCAGATATTATAGATTGCATTAGACGGGTGTACATAATAAAGTGACCACTGGGTGTAGCTTCTTAGACACATGGATTTCTCCATTTCCAATAATATTCGAATCAGTGAATTACTTTTTTAATCCAATAATATCTTAAATTTGAAGAAACATTTTTTTTTCTCATAATGATAAAAAACTTTTGAAGTTGAAAGTACAGAAAAACAAATAAGACATATCGTTATATAATAACAATATTCATTTTACATATAAACTGACAATGTGTCCAGAAAGCACATCAAAAACACAATCTAAATCGCTGTTAATACTCACCTGTGATGTGTTATCTTTGGTCGTATCGCAGAGATCAGGGCTGCTGTTAGATGATGAGCTGTGTCTGGTGAAGCCCTCTTATACACCTCAGACTCTGAGACGATTATGAGGCTTCCAACCAATAAACTGCAGGGCTCTCCTCACTCGTACACACACAGTCTCTCTCATTGTATATGGAGCAGTACATTCATTAGGGATTGGCTGACAGGCAGTTTAGGGGATATCTGAACTAAGACTGACCAGAACAGACACTTGACCCCAGAGAAAAAACGTCTTTAGAATAACAATGAGGATGTGCGTCAAGGGTGTCCATCAGGACTCATTCAGTCTTCCAGACACGTGCAGTGTAGGAACAGAGCTGTGGGGTTTTCTTACAATATGTCCCATGATGCACAGTATCTCCCCACCACCTGCAACATTATGCAACGTCTGCAGCCGAGGAACATACTAGCATGAACGACGGCTGAATAGACTGCTGCCGGAAACATTATGGGCCATTCACCGTATGCCACATGTCTGATACACACTCTGTAAATGCTGCAGGAGCTACAACTAACTATGGTGCACACAGCTGATTGTACAGTTACAAATAGTGATAATGTTTATAGTTGGTTAATCATTAGGTTTATTATGATTAAATGATTAAGCATTTTAATCAGCTTTTCAATGTGCTACAATATTAACATACTAAATTATTACTAACAATAATACAACAAGATAATATAATATATATTTTACACTCTGAAAGGAACAACTCTGCTAAAGAAAAATGTTTCTCTCTAGGATTTTTTTACTTTACTACTTTTGCTTTAGTAAATGATCTGAGTATTCCACCACAATTTGTTCAAAGGTATCTAACATACAGGATGTATGTACTGGATGTTTGTCCGATCAAACAACTAAACAGTTTATCAGTTATCAAAATTGTTGCAGGTTAATTTTCTGTCAATTAATTAACTGATTAATCAACTTAATACGCTGTGCGTATTGATTGAGTCAGATTCAACTCTTAAGACCCTTGTTCATTATTAAACACATTACTTATTAATTAGAATTACAATTACATTAATTTTCAAAATAAAGATTTAGTTGGTCTGATTTCTGTTTTGACAACAACAACCAGCTTTGACTTGTTTTGGTCTGAGGAAGTCCAGCTAATTCACAGTTCCAGTGACAAAAAGTATGTAACCACTGATCATTTGCTAAACTTCTGATCTTTAGGACAAAGATGAACAGTACTCGTTTCTTCTACATGAATCAGTGGAATATCTGCTCTGAATACATTTGTAAATAACTGAGCAATTAAACAGTTAAGCTCATTGTTTACATTTGGCTTTATGAATATGATCATTCATTGTAGTGATGCACTGAACCATATGACTTTTATGTGTTTGTTTATTTGTTCATGGCTGATTGTGGTTTGAAGTTGAATGCAGTTAATATTTTATATTAATATGTGTATAGGTTTACATGTGTTCAAGAAACTCTGATGTGTGTGGTGCATCTGACATGATCTGATCTCAGTGCTTATTAAGCAGTCACAATTTCACTTACGACTGCTAATGAAGGTCAAAATCAATGATACACAATCCGGATGGTCAAATAGATCAAAAAGTTACTGTACTTCAAATTCAATATCATCATTGACGCCATCTAGTGGTGTTAGATAGTAACACCAGCAGCAGCAAGATCGTCTGTTATATCAGTGCATCACTCTGGGATAAAGTTGTCCTCGTCCAATGTACAACTTACACAAGTGTGATCAATGATTGTGATATATATATATGTATATATATATATATATATTGAAAATGCACTTAAATGAAGTAGGAGACATCTTGTGT